CTGGACTAAAGAATGAGATCAGCTGAAATCTGCTCACTACACAAAAATCATCAGCAAACATCTGCAGACTTGAATCCCAACGATCTGTTAATGAAGATCTTCAGCAGCAGGTACTGAAGCAGCACAATGATGTCTGTAGATCAGAGAGACAGACAGATACGTACCGACAGAGCGCTTCAGCGTCAAAGTATCTGGAATGTCTGTGGTCGATGATGATCAGATCGTGGTTCTTCTCCTGGAAACTCTCCAGCGCCGCTTCTGGCGTTCGGGCCACATTACACCTGAAACCAGCGCGTTCACACGCCCAGCAGAAGCTGTGACTCTGAGCATCGTCTTTGGCAAACACTAACAGCACCTGCAACCCACACACACACACACACACACACACACACACACACATACAGAGAGACGTGCACACACACACATACAGAGCCGTCATCAGTGTGCTCGACAGTGCTGGCCAACAGAGAAATTCAGCCACAATAATAACTTCCATCAATAACATGAACATAATATACTGCAGTTCATTTGAGCTGATTCACTGAAACAGTGCAGAAGAATCACTCGCTCACAGTGTGTTTGTGTAAAGCTAACACTGTAAAGCTGCTTTGACACAATCTGTGTTGCATAAAGCACTATATAATTAAAGGTGACTTGACTTGTGTGAACGGACAGTTCAGATGCTCGGCGTGTGTTCTGTGTGTTCTGAGGGAATGTGGGATCAGCTGGGAGGACAAAAACAGGAAGAGGAAATCACTGTTTCAGTTTCCAACAGTAATTAAAGCTCTGCAACACTGGCACAACACCTCAGCACTAACCTTAATACTGCCCTCAATGCTAATGCTATCCCAACGCTAATTATAGCCCAATGCTAATACTAACTCAACGCTAAAGCTAAGCCAACGCTAATACTAACTCAACGCTAATGGCAACCCAACACTAATATTAACTCAATGCTAACGCTAACCCAACATTAACACCAACCTAATGTTAAACCAATGTTAATACTAACTCAACGCTAAAGCTAAGCCAACGCTAATACAAACCCAGTGCTAATATTAACTCAATGCTAACCCAATGTTAATACTAACTCAACGCTAATACAAACCCAGTGCTAATATTAACTCAATGCTAACCCAATGTTAATACTAACTCAACGCTAATACAAACCCAGTGCTAATATTAACTCAATGCTAACCCAATGTTAATACTAACTCAACGCTAATACAAACCCAGTGCTAATATTAACTCAATGCTAACCCAATGCTAATACTAAGTCAAAGGTAATGCTAAGCCAACGCTAATACTAACTCAATGATAACCCGATGCTAATGCTAACCCAACATTAACACCAACCTAATGCTAACCCAACGCTAATACTAACTCAACGCTAATGGCAACCCAACACTAATATTAACTCAATGCTAATGCTACCCCAACGTTAATACTTACTCAATGCTAACCCAACGCTAATGCTAACCTAACGCTAATGTCAAACCAACGCTAATACTAACTCAATCCTAACCCAATGCTAATGCTAACCCAACATTAATGTTAACTCAAAGCTAATGCTAACCCAACGTTAATGCTAATCCAATGCTAATATTAACTCAATGCTAATGCTAACCCAATGCTAATTCTACCCCAACGTTAATACTTACTCAATGCTTACCCAATGCTAATGCTAACCCAATGCTAATATTAACTCAATGGTAATGCTAACCCAACGTTAATACTAAGCCAACGTTAATGCCAAACCAACGTTAACACTAACTCAATGCTAACCCAATGCTAATGTTAACCCAACATTAATGTTAACTCAACGCTAATGCTAACCCAATGCTAATATTAACTCAATGCTAATGCTAACCCAATGCTTATGGTAACCCAACACTAATGCTAACTCAGTGTTAATGTTAACACAATACTAATGCTAACCTAGGGTGACCATACGTGCCATTTTCCCAGGACGCGTCCTGGCCAGGATTTCTATATTGCCTAAAATATCTAGGTTTTGGCTTTGTTTGCGTGTGCAGACCGATCGGTGTATGACATCAAAATACCTCGAGAGCATTTTGAAAGCATAAGGAATCTGTATGGTATTTTGATGTCATACACCGCAGAACAAAGCCAAAACCTAGATATTTTAGGCAATATAGAAATCCTGGCCAGGACGCGTCCTGGGAAAATGGCAGGTATGGTCACCCTAGCTAACCCAACGTTAACGCCAACCTAATGCTAACCCAGTGCTAATACTAACTCAACGCTAATGCTAGTCTCAGCCTCAGACGTCACGCCCACGGACCATTGGCTAAACGTCTGATGCATATGGCACACAAAAGCACACTTCAGGAGTTTTGAAGTAGTCATCGGATTTGTTGAATTATACAGGATTTCCGGGAGACGTGTGTGTCGCGTTCTTTAACGTTCCGCCTGGAAACAAAGATGGCGTGCCGCCAAACCCCCTCACGAAATAAGAAAGCCGTCATGTTTACAGCTGTGATGACAAGCGCTTATCAGGATCAACTAAACGATTTTCAAAAGTATGGGAAAAAAGTTCGCGGCATAGAATCTTTAAAATACGTCCGAGAGTTTTACACACCGGTCTGTTATTGTGGCAACATTTCCGCAGCCCGAAACGTGACGATGAACGAAACGAACTGTGATTGGTTGTTTGACATGTTGGTCAAACGGCCTCATGGGCGGGCCTTGGCCAATGAAAGCTGCCATGGATTAAAAAATTCCAATGCTAATGCTAACCCAACATTAAAGTTAACTCAACGCTAAAGCTAACCCAATGTTAATGCTAACCCAATGCTAATATTAACTCAATGCTGATGCTAACCCAATGCTAATAGTAACCTTATGCTAACCCAGCACTAATACTAACTCAACGCTAATGGTGCACAATCATTTCACAGCTTTCTATGTAGATCTGCTGCACCATACGTTTCTACTGATGTGTTTCGTGCAGCATTGATGTTGTTGTTTTTTTGCCTTTTTTATTGTTGATAGTACAGTTCAAACGAGACACAGGGAACTATGGGAGAGAAGAGAGGGCAACAGGATCGCGAAAAGACCCGAGAGTCGAACTCAAGCTACTGCACCGTGTGTCACATACGGCCCACAATGCTTCGTGCCCAATCACAGACATCGAGTGTAAAAATGTCTTAATTACACTGTTCTGGAGTTCATTGGCTCATAAAGCATGGCTGTGAATGAACTGTAAGCCTAGCACGCGGCTGAATTGTAGGTAGCTTCCAAACATGTATCTGGTGCCGCCACTGTGCAGTCATTGAGTTTGGGATTTTAGGGCACTTTGTGACGCCCGCCTGACAAACCCGACTCCATGTGTTCCTGATATTCTACACATTACAGGCCCTTCAAATCATTCTGACGCGTCTGTGGAAATACAGCGGATTCACAGAGCGATAATTCACATCTTCTCACGGGAGCTCCAGAAATCTCAGGATACAGGAGTCGGGTTGGATTCACTCAACCTTCCTAAAATTAGCTTGAAGAATTAATGAGCGATAATGAAACTCCCAATATAGAACACACACTCACACACACACACTCTCTCACACACACACACACACACACACACACACACCATAATGAGCAGGAAGCTATGGAATAAAATCACTGTCAAAAATAATCGTACGTAATTCAAAGCATTTGTGTGTCATTTTAATTTACTCGTGCGTAATTTAAAAGTATTGTATGTAATTCTGTTTTTTGTCAGAGTTGGATTCCAAAATCTACGCCCACGACAGTTTACAGATACGAGATTGTGTGTGTTTGTTACGAGTACAACTCCAAAATGTACGACTATGACAGTTTACAGACACAACGCTTGTTTTCACAACAGCTCTGTTACACGCACGACGTGCGAATTGCGACCACGAAGTGCGGTGTGTGAAACGACTGTCAAAAATACGTCATCATGGTCACAGGCATTACTACCCGAGGGAAGATGAATCGATTCCACGAAGTGCCACCGTTTTAAACCACTGGTGCCAAAATGGCGCATCAGCAGCCAAGCGCTCACTCATCGTCTCAGGTATTTTTTTTCTTTTTCAAATTCGGACATGTTTAAGGGTTAGTTATCACTAATGACAGAGAGGAGTAATATTACAGAGATAGTTTAACTATAGTAGGTAAGACAGAGGTGTCATTTCCCGGCATTTGATATTCACAAATCTAGGGACCGTCTCTAAAGTTACATACAACATTGGTTCATACTTTTCTAACTTCGAATCGATTCATCTTCCCTCGGGTAGTAATGCCTGTGACCATGATGACGTATTTTTGACAGTCGTTTCACACACCGCACTTCGTGGTCGCAATTCGCACATCGTGCGTGTAACAGAGCTGTTGTGAAAACAAGCGTTGTGTCTGTAAACTGTCATAGTCGTACATTTTGGAGTTGTACTCGTAACAAACACACAAAATCTCGTATCTGTAAACTGTCGTGGCCGTAGATTTTGGAATCCAACTCTGACAAAAAACAGAATTACATACAATACTTTTAAATTACGCACGAGTAAATTAAAATGACACACAAATGCTTTGAATTACGTACGATTATTTTTGACAGTGATTTTATTCCATACAGATGTGTCTTAAATGTATTTTCTGGATAAATGCATGAAAATTGTACTCACAGCAACGCTGGAAACAGCTGAGTCGTGTCTCTCGATCATTGTCCTGTGACAACACCCACTCTGAACCCCAATAGATCAGGCATAAAAAGATGAGTCGACTCAAAAAGGGTCGAGTGCAGAAGCGACGACGAACCCTTACGGCTGATTCGGATTTGGACTAAATGAATGGATTTTTAAGGGAGGTAAACGTGCACAGGACTAAAACAAGCATGCAAGCATCGGCCGGGGAAAAATGTTACAATGCTGCGAGCATGAAAGGCGATTGTCCTCCTCCTAGAGAATTCAACCCCTATTGGTCAGCGACTGTCCGCTTGTAGTGATGTCATAGAATCCCGCCCACCCTCGCATTTCATTGGATCGCTGTATTTAACAAAGGATTGTGGTATTTGTAGTGGCAATCACGAGGCCGGAGGAAGAATGAAAAAGATGCTGTGTGTGAAGTTGACTAGGCAGATACATACGCAATACTTCAAAACACACAAATAAACAAATAAAATAATAATAAAAGTCTGTGGGAGGTCATTTTAATAAGACTTTTTTATTAACCAAGGGTTGTATGGGTTGTCATTATTTATTGTGCTTTTATTATTAAAAAAAAAAAAAAATAAAATAAAAAATTATAAGCATTAGCAATTAATGGCAACATGAAAATTTGATACCGGCATATCCCTACATACAATACTTTTAAATTACGCACGAGTAAATTAAAATGACACACAAATGCTTTGAATTACGTACGATTATTTTTGACAGTGATTTTATTCCATAGGAAGCCTGATAATCTGCATGTTCACACTCACTGTTTGGTGTACTTACTACAGAAACCCTTCTAAATCAGCATAATGTATGAACACAGAGTATGAGTGATGAAGAGCCGGTACCTGCAGCTGATCTTCATAGAGCTTCATTGGTCCAAACTGCACCTCTGTTAATGTGCTCTGAAACGACAGTCAAGAACAAACACACTCAGTGATCTGAACGACACACAGCATGATCTGTGGAAGTACATTCAGACATGATTCCAGCATCCTCCCTGATGATGCTCAGTTACCATGGAGACCATCCCTCCACGGGACAGCATCCCAAAAGATCATCACCATCCGGACAACATGAGGAAGGGAACACACACACACACACACACACACACAGAGAGACACACACACACACACACACACAGAGAGACACACACACACACA